ATATTTACAACTGTAAATATAAAAAAAAAATACATCTAGTAAATTCGCACATGGATATAATGACATGAAACACATGTTGAGAAACTATCCATTGGTAGCACTCTAATAATATGTCTATATTAGGAGATCACGTGGCCATCTTCTTTTCAGACGCCTCGGAGGTTTATCAGGAATTGTACAGGAAGCAAGGTTAAAAATAAGAGGGTTGGGATGGTTATGAAGTTTATTATGGAAGGATAGATATCTGGATTGGGCCAAATCTGATACATAAGGAACATTAAGGTCATTGTGGATGATTTTATTTGTAACAAAGTAAGGAGCATTGAGGATTTTACGAAGGATTTTGGATTGTAAGGATTGAATACGAGAGGAATGTGATGGTTTAGTGGAACCCCATAGCTCAACTCCGTAAGTCCAAATAGGCCTTATTATACCCATGTAAATGAGTCTTTTGTAATTAATTGGAAGGTTAGAGCGTTTGTCTAGTAAGTGTTGAAGTAGTCGGAAACGTCGAGCTGTTTCATGTCGTTTCAGTCTGGTATGAGGATTCCAAGTTAGACGTTTGTCCAGGTTGGGTCTACGTAAGTTAAATTATATATTGGTATTAGTACAATTCTGAAAAAATAACGTGAAAATGGAAAAAGACCTGTATTCCAATATTTATCTTATTTTTTTAATGTTGTTTAGTAACTTTTTTAGTGTTTTGTACCTCTAAGTTTAATACAAAATAGGTATACCGCTAGAAAAGATACATTAGGTAATTGTGTTGTAATGTTGTTAACTAATCCAGAACCAAATTTCGCCAATCCAGGACAGTAAAATCAAAATCACTTAAATACTGCTAACTATTCACTGTATATTTATTTGGCTATTGCTTTACGGTATATGGGGGCGGGGGATCTCGAGGCGAAACTAAAACGTTTGATAAATTGCTTTGTACGATTCATCTTCGGGATCCCAAGGGACGCCTCTGTTTCCCGTTTTTATGCAGAAATGAAGTGGCTTTATCCTTCCTACCGTCGTAAGTATTTCCTGGCATCCTTCCTCTTTCAAATTATCCAATCCCACCGCCCCTCATACATCTCCGATCTCTTTCAATTCAAATCCTCTGTTCGTTCCCGCAATACTCGTTCACGGTCATCTGATTTATACATTATCCGATCCTCATCCCTATGGAACTCCATCCCTTCCCACATCCGTCAATCCAATATCTTTCCTACCTTTAAATCCCGCCTGTTCAATCATTTCTTATCCATCCTGTCTCCATAAAATTGTAAATAGATACTACTTTAAATATCTATATAAATTATTAGTTCGTTCTTCATTATTTTTACTTCAAGTTTTTTTATCAATTTTTTTTTTATTATTAACTGATTAAAATTAAAAGGTAACTTATAATTTCCAATATTATACATTCCAAAACTTTGTTATAAAAATTTAATGACTTTTCAAGAAACTTAAGGAATACACTGTCATGTTTGAAATTTTGAAGTGTTCAAATATTGAAGCTATTTTTCTAAATCACAAAACTAAATATTTCGAAATTTCTCTTTTTATAAATATATATATTCATAATTGTGAATTGATAGTTGGCTGTAGTGAATAATTGATAATACTTACTATTTATATTTTGTTTTCTCATTTTTATTTATTTATTTTTAATATGTTCTTAATTACTTTCATTTATTATTCTTGTACATATATATATATATATATATATATATATATATATATATATATATATATATATATATACACACACACACACACATATATTGTATGAGTGGATGCTTTTAGCTCTAATGCTTATTGCCCTTGAGTGTGGCAGATTGTGTTGATATTCAATAAATAATTAATAAAAATTATCTTAAATACCCATGCTATTAAATAATAAATACATTTTATTAATTATTGATGATTTTAAAGGATTAACCGATAAATGACATACAAGAAAATTAAATTTAACATAATATAATGAATAAAAATTGCACAGAGTATATTTTAAAACTTTTGCTTGTCAACATAATACATTATAATATATCCCTAGAACAACAAACAAAATAAAACAAATTGTTGACCACATTTAATAACATAAAATTTTGAACGTGTAATAATTATAAATTAAATATTTAAATATAGATATATTACAAATATTGAAGTTATAATAAAAATTAGTAATAGAAATAATGTTATAAACAAAAAAGTATATATAATATTTATTAATTAAATGTTACAGCACTGGCCAAAGAAGTATTCACTTGTAATAATAATTTGTAGTTTAATTAAAATATACTGTATATTAAAAATTCAATATTCGTATCACATTTCACGAACCATTCACCTCACATTTTCGAAATCATTCGAGGAATGTTGCTATGAACGTTCGCAAACGTTTGGGCCATCATGTAGCAGAGACTTTATTCAGCCAGCTTCAGTTGGACTGCAGCCTGCATCGGGTGCAGTCCATACGTGTCATTAAACATAAGATCAAGGTTACGCAGACCTTATTTTTTCTTCCTCTCTCTAATGTAACATGAAATATCATCAACAATATTCTGTGATATTAACGCATAGCATCTACAAAAATATCAAAACTAAATTTTATTAACCCCAGAACCCAGAAGAGGACCATAAAAATAGTGGAATCTATTGATTCTTTAATTACCTCAATATCCTAATGTTCCTAACCCTTAACAACCTTATCAACATAAAAATGTTCATGTTTGTATTCCATCAAATGCTATAGATCTTATCAGTTTGTCGATATCTTTCCACGCTGAATGCAAATTCCTTGTTACCAAATTGATATTACTCCTTACAAATCTAGTATCTCTCCTCAAATGAACCTTTAAAAATTAAAAAATCCTTAAGAATCCCATCAAGCTTATTTCAATTTTGGTGCTAGAAAACACATCGAAGAACTAACAGTTTTATTACTAGACAAGAACGGCGATGTAGCCCTAATTACTGAAACTCGACTCCACAGAAAATATCTTTTGAAAATACCTCAGTACTTAACATATCGTACAGATCATCCTGACGGTAAAGCATATGTCGGTTCCGCTGTCTTTGTACACTAATCCTCTCTCTTCACCTGCTCCCATCGCTTACTCAAGATTTCCTTCAATCCACCGCTTTCGTAATCAAAACCTTCTTATTTCCTATCATCCTTGTTGGAGCAGTGTATTGTTCTCTTAACCAATCCACTTCAAATATCCAGTTCAGTTCTCTCCTCAGTTCCTTTGGACATCATTTCATCCTGAGGGCAGTATTAAACGCCAATTAAAGGACAACGCCGTAGATTCCTTTAACACCACGATTAAAGAGGCTGTCTGGACTGCTTTCTCGCCAAATAACTCTTATAAGAATCCCTAAGAAAGATATTAACAACAAAACTTGCTGGACCTAATCCACATCAAACGCCATGCCAGATTATTATGGCAACTTACCAGACACCTCACCAATCCCCTCCCTCCCCCCATAGTTATTACTGTAAACAATTAAATAATATTTCTGTTCATTACAATGCTCTGAGGTATATCACAAATCAAATCCTGAAATTCCATCATATTTTTATCACCTTTTTCGAGGTGATGACTCCTAGGCAGAGTCTGATGAGGATATAACCATGGAATTCTATCCATGATTTGATCTCAACACCTTCCTAACCATCAATTTCTTTCCCAACATTCTACTGTCCATCAAGGTCTGCCAGATCGCCCTTGAAACTTAAAATCCATCTATCCCATTCCTTATACCTTGTACTTCGATCCTACCGCTCTGACCGCGTGTGACAATATTTTGTAAACAAACAAAAACTTTCTCTGCGAACTGCGCCCTCTTTCTCCCTTGCTTCCTATGATATTGGGGGCATTTATTTCTCGAAATTTTTCTTTTTTGTTTATAATTTTGTGTTTCTTAAGATTTAATGTCAGTAATATCTTAATAGGCCGGGTCACTGGTACAAAACCGTTAATAGTCGTTCATTTGTGTTTTATTAATGTTTCCATGAACTTTTTACAGTTTTTGTTTAAATGTAAATGTAGAGGAATGAGATGGTCCGGGATGACGGTCATAAAGAGAATAAAATAGTGGAAAAAATATTTTATTTAAAGCCAACGTTTCGACCCAACTTTGCAGGTCTTCTTCAGGAGGGTCCATGCAGCACGAAGTTTCAGTTAAAACTGACAGTCTCTCGTCAGTTCTTGACAGTTTATTTGTCAGTTATGCACTTCCCTGAAGAAGACCTGCAAATTTGCGTCGAAACGTTAGCTTGAAATAAATAGTTTTTCCACTATTTTAGAATCTTTATGACCGCCACCCCGGACCATCTTCTTCCTCTAAAATATACAACTTAAATGTATTAGGTATTTCTACTATCTGCTGCTTCTGGAACATCAAAGATAATTGAGTTGATTCTATTTAATTATTTTTGAAGAAAATGGATTTATTGCTTCTTTGTTTTCCAACTCCACACATTTACTCTGTTTTTTTTTTTTTACTTTCACTTACCTATATATTAAATATATTATAAGAGATAGTATTCCGATAGTGAAAATTTTCGAATCTGAGTTTTCAACGAAAATACATGTTTTGAGGTCCCCCTTGAGCCGAAATAACCAAGTCTCACAAAATGGTGTGTGTGTGTGTGCGCGCGATTTTTTTTATCCTAATACTTCCTGCACCAGTTTTATTATATCCTTAATTTCACTGCTATCTTTGTTTATCTTTTTAATCTCTTCCATAGTTTCCGCTGGTATATACTCCACTACATCATTCATATTTAAATTATTTTAATGATTCCACAGGTAAACTAGTTTAGCTATTTAACGTTATTTTCTAAATTTGAACACTATATAATGTCAATAATAAGGCGATGACTGATAGTTATGGCATCAGTAACAAACATTTTTTTGCTATGATCATTACATACGTTTTAAATGTATCAAACTATTACATAACTTAACAAATAAAATCTATGTATTATTATTTTGTTTCAGAGATGGAACCAAGCTTTCCATATCGGGACGTATCTATACAGCGAGGAGTTGAAATGAAACAATTTTATGACCTTGAAGGAGAGATTGGAAGGTATTATAATTTTATTTTTCATAATAAAATATTCTTTCACATCTTGATGAATGCCATGTGCTGCATTCAGAAAGAAATATATATATATATATAACTATGTGTTGTTTTTTAAAATTTATCTTTATTGACTACGTAGACTTCCGGCCGCCAGAACTAGTCTCTGCATCTGGCTATCTTGGGGTATTGTTTTCTAGTTTGCTGGACGTAGCTCAACAGCATCAATGGTGATTCAATCTGATGTTTGGCCTACCACGTGGTCCCTTTACAACTATTGAGGCATTCATTGGAGATGCTTCCGGATGGATTGCTTTGAGCTACACATCCCATGGATTGTTGCTTCCTACATATTCCATCCTTTTACCCTAAGATCTTTGTTAATATTTTCTGTATGCGGTCTTTATAGGTCATTCTCCTTTAAAGAAGGACCTATAGGGTTTTTCTATCAAATCTTTCGATCCTTCTTTCTATTGTGCTGATTAAGGTCCAGGTCTTGCAGCAGCAAACCATTAATTGCTTTGACATAGCATTGTACGTGCTTGATTCTATATTTCTTAAAGATGGATTGCAACACCTTTGAAAGAGAGCAGAAATTTGTTTTTGCGCTTGTTATACGCTGATCTATTTCTAAACGTTTGTCATCCACTGAAGTTATTTTGGAGCAGAGGTATCTGAATCTGTCCACTCTTGGCAACAATGTTTCCTCTAAACAGGTACATTTTTCGGCTTATTGTCATATATTTTATTTCCATTTACCTGAAGGGCGTTTTGCTCTGCTTCTTTCATCCAAGTCTCTCAAGATCCTCTCGATTTCTTCAGAAGGACAGCTACATCATTTGTCTATCTTGGGATTTTATGATTCATTCAAATGCTAAATTCAACAGCATCGGATGGACTCCATCTCCCTGTCATAAACCAATTTTAACTTTGAAAGCTTCAGATACTTTTTTTCAGGATCCAACATTTAATTTCACTTGTAGTTTGCTTCGTCAATCTCTCTGATTTCTCGTAAATTGTAAATATAGTCATGATTTTCCTATGTTTCTGTCCACTCTGCTTTGAAATCGACTAATAATCTGTTACGCCCTGAGCTACTTATCATTGTATTTCGAGCACCTGTTTTAGGAAGCTCTGATTTATTACACTTTAAAACATTAAACAAAATTATATAACTTGGAAATGTCTCGGCATGGATTATGATGAATACTAAATAGTAAAAATAAATTTGGTATGGGAAAAGATCTTAAATCTCTGTTGTAAATCTATGTAGATGGAATTTCCGGGTCAGGTACTTGTGCGCTTCTTCTCCTCCTCAAATTATTTAAAATACTCCCAACATTAAAACTTTTCTTTAATATATAATATTAATTTTAAAACCCATCCATAACCACACCCCAAATATGTTTAAACATGTTAACAAAAAAAAAAAACATCATGTTCTTATAATCTGTATGAAATGGAAAATAAACTATGTTAGGACCAGGGGTATTTCAAAATGAAACAAAAATCTTTCCCCGGTGAGTTTCCTCTAAGGTGGGGAAAATATGAGCAAAATTAAACGGTGGGAAAGAAGAGAAAAAAATAATGAAAATGAGACCTGTAAAACAAGGTTAAAACACATGCACATAAAAATTTAAAAATATTCATTAAATCAATAATGGAAAATAAAAATCCCCCTTTTTTAAATGTTCACAATATTTATCATATTGAAATAAAAAGAGATGAAAATATGTACACAAATGTTGAAAACAAAATAAAATGCTCTGAAATAAACCAAACATAAAATTTAATATTTAGTAAAAAAAAAAACACATTAACAATTATTAATAAAACAAGAATGAAATCAACTTCTAAAATTGTAGATCAGTAATAAGAAAAAAACATTAACTAAAATACAATTTAACGTCTAGAAAAGCTTAAAAACAAACTAATTTAGCCTGGGAAAAAATTAAAGTAATTTAATCTCTTTCGTGACGGTGGAGAAGAAAACAAAAAATATCCAAGTTGGAGGCACTACCTCCAAAGAGGTTACCTAAATACGATGTCAAGCAGTCGATGGTGGGGAGTATCGAGTATCGATCTCGATCGACGACTGTCGATGCGCTCTGTCGTTTGAACAGCTGTCGTTTGAAAATGGCGCTAGGCTGGTGCCAGGTGAAGTGAGCTGAGCCTGGAGCTGGTGAAATGGGGGTAGACGTCCAATACGTGGACCCAACACAAACGAAAGCTCGCTCTAAACTTCCGATTAAACAAAAAGGCATTATACTAGACCGGTGGGGTTGAGTTCCAACTCAACCCCAGTTCCAGTTCCAACTGGAGCGGCTGGTGGGAAGGTGAGAGAAGTTGTCCAATACGTGGACCCAATAACAACGAAAGCTCGCTCCAGACTGACTCTAGACCGCATCCCGGCAGTCTTATCGCTGTATTTTGGTTGTCTTAATGCCTAAACTCAGTATTACTGCCGGGCTGGTGCGTATACACAAACGCGATAATACGTCGCGAAACAAAACAATGTTCAATATTTAAACACAAAAACCTTGGCCTTTCACAAAAAAAATAAAGATCTAAGTGTATGCGGCGTTCAAACTATGTATAAGAAAAAAATGTGAAGACATAATTTAGCTCGCTAGTTATCACCACCCCAAAAACCTTAATTTTTAATTAATAAGATCCTATAATTGCTTTGTTTTTATTTTGTGTTGAAAATGTGTAGATACAATAAGTGGTTTATTCTTGTTTGAGCTTATTTTCCTTGTATCTGGGAATTTGAGAAGCTACGTATGAGATTGTATGCTGTGGGCTAGTACATCTGTCTGTTGTTTTTCTTCTCCTAACACAATAACTTGAATGTTTATAGATAATTGTAAACGTTGTGCCGTTTACAACTGCTAAAAAAGGCAGCCTTGTTTTGAAAGTTTAGAGATGTTTAGAAAACAGTTGGTATTCCTGAATCATACCTACGTCAAGAGGAAATGAATGTTTTGATGGGAATATCTTTTGATTCTCAAAGTGATAAAATGTCCTGAAATAGTTTCTTGTTTTCAATAGTTTAAATTCATCATTTTGCTTAGATATATTTAAACCACTAGAAAGCAAAGATTTTTTTATATAACTATTAATATACTAGAGTACTTATTTGATCATTATCGAGATAGAAAACATCAATAAATCGTTTGTATTGGTTCATAATAGTTTCAAGGAAGGTTATTAACACCTATGTTAAATATTTATCTTCTGACTAATGAGGGCTATATAAAAATTCGTTTATGAAAAATTAACTTTTCACTTTTCTTAAAATGCATATCTTCTATTTATTTCTTCCACTTCCAGCGCTTTTAAGAGGTCACTTTTATTCTTTTTTAATAATGGTTCTCAAACACATAACTTGACTTTTAATTTAATTAATTTAATGGGATAGACTTCCCCTTTACTGTGAATGAAACAATACACCAGAGAAATAGAAAAAGCATTTTTATTTTGGGACTATGTTCCTTATGAATAACAATAGAAACAATGATGATCAATTCTGACCGTAATACCGATTAAATAAAAATAAATACATATGGGAAAACAGGTCCGAAGCTTCAAGGTAGCAGCCCTACCATCGGACTCGTGCTATGGCGATAACCCGTACATCCTACATTAACCTATCAGGAAACCTCAAAGAGAAAAAACCGGATTGATCTCAGGGAAACGACTTGGCCGTCAAAAGGATCTTATTTTTGGATATTGGAATGTTTTGAGCATGTATAGACCTGGAGCACTGCAGATGCTCTTAAATGTCATTGACGAACATAACTTGGACATAACAGCCATCCAGGAAATACGTTGGACATGGAATCATCGAAAAGAAGAGCCATACTGTATATTATAGCTGCCATAGTAAGCACCATATCTTTGGTACCGGGTTCATTGTTCGTAAGAATGGAAGGTCGTTAGTTACCGATTTCAAGCCTGTAAATCACAGAATTTGCTAGTTAAGAATAAAAGGAAATTTTTTTAATTATAGCCTTTTCAGCACTCATGCACCCACGGAAATATCAGATGAATGAGAATAGGATGAGTTTTACGATGGTCTATAGAGATCTAATTGCCTATACTTACCAAACAAAAACGAGTTTATCAGCTAATATAAAAGATAAAAAAAAATCAATATTTAACTATTTATTATTAGAAAAACTTATTATTTAACATAAACCTATTTGGTTTATTTTATTTATTTATTTATTTTAAATGATATTTACAACTGTATACAAAAAAATACATCTAGTAAATTTGCACATTGGTATAAAGACATGGAACACATGTTGAGAATCTACCCATTGGTAGCACTCTAATAATATGTCTATATTAGAAGATCACGTGGCCATCTTCTTTTCAGACGCCTCGGAGGGTTATCAGGAATCGAATAGGAAGCAAGGTTAGAGACAAGAGGGTTGGGATGGTTATGAAGTTTATTATGGAAGGACAGATATCTGGATTGGGCCAAATCTGATACATAAGGAACATTAAGGTCATTATGGATAATTTTATTTGTAACAAAGTAAGGAGCATTGAGGATTTTACGAAGGATTTTGGATTGCAAGGACTGTATGCGAGAGGAATTTGAAGGCTTGGTGGAGCCCCATAGCTCAACCCCGTAAGTCCAAATAGGCCTTATTATAGTCATGTAAATCAGTCTTTTATAATTGATTGGAAGGTTAGAGCGTTTGTCTAGTAAGTGTTGAAGTAGTCGGAAACGTCGAGCGGTTTCTTGTCGTTTCAGTCTGGTATGAGGATTCCAAGTTAGACGTTTGTCCAGATGGAGTCCTAGGTAACGGATTTGTTCAACAGGAATAAGTGAGGTGTTGTTAAAGGATACTGAAGGACAGGAAGTCATTGGTTTACGACGAAGGGTGAAGGTAATTTGATGGGATTTATTGGAATTTATTTTAATTCTCCATTTCTGACACCATTCTTCCAGGTTTGTGATGTGGGATTGAAGGGTTTGGGATGCAATAGAT